AGGTTCCCGCACGCTGTCGACACACTAGTAGTAGTAGTAGTAGTAGTAGTAGTAGTAGTAGTAGTAGTGGTAGAGGTAGTGGTAGCGGTAGTGGTAGTGGTAGTGGTAGTGGTAGTGGTAGCGGCAGTGGTAGTGGTCGTGGTCGTGGCAGTGGCAGCAGCAGCCGCGCAGCTAGAATAGGAGCAATAACAGCTGTAGCGGTAGTCGTAGCAGGTCCAGCAACAGAACCAGTACTAGTTACTAGTAGCAGCAGTATAGTCTCAGTAGCAATCTTAGTGTAGTTCCTCCACCTTAAACCCCAGGCCCTAATTACTTTTCCTCACCATCCCTAAACAAAAAAGCCCCGAAGCCCCTGCTTTCACCATGTGAAACCGAAGGCACATACTGCGCCGACTCCGCCGGCATCTCGCGGCGGCGGCGAGGCTCCTCAGCCAGCTCTGCTTCCAGCTCCTGACCGTCGCGGCTCGGCTCGAACCATTGTTTCGAACAACAGCACCTGGCCGCATTCTCATATACACGGTAACAAGATGTAATACGAAGACCAAACTTGGCCTACGGCTAAACCCCAAACCCCTGTCCAGACTCGGCTTCGATCAGATGCCGTGCCTCAGCCCTGGGACCAACCGCGGCCCTGCATCAAAGAACTCTACACCCTGAAGTAAACTCCTAAGCCTAGGGCTTAAGCTTAGACCTAAACACTAGACCCGGCATTTTAAAGCCTGCGCACCTTCTCAAGGAGCTCTTTCTCAGCCAACTCCTGCTGCAAGCGTAGCAGGGCTTCCGAAGTCAGCGGTGGACCTCGAGCTCTAGCACGGAATTGCTCGGGTCTCCAGGTGCGGGGTTTTAGTAGGGCATTCAGGGGTTTACGGCTTAGTGACTGGATTTTGGGGTTCTGCAGGGGTGCAGGGTTTGGAGGTTTCGGGCTTGGCGATGTAGGATGAAGGGCTCTGGGGTTTGTGTTTTAGTCTTTTGAAAACCCAGAGCTTGTTTATGATTAAGACACACTTACTGTTCCAGCTCGGCGCGGTCAAGCTCAATGTCAACCCCTGATAAAGAGAACAGGAACCAAGAAACGAGAGGGGAAGGCACACAAACGAACAGGGTCACGAGAGAGATCTCCTCAGAAGTACGCAGTCACCTGAGCAGTTGGTACTCGTATCGGTTGGAGTTCTACTTGTCGAAAATCTAGAACGAAGAATGTAATCCGGACGTGGCCTGCTGACGACTTCCGCTGCCTCCGAGACTTCGTCTCATGCAGAACACCAGGACAGGACTCATGACACTGCTTTTACATGCACACTGCAGATTTGCTTGCTCATACATAGACTATAACTGAGCCCGGCCCTAAACTTTAAATCCTAAACCCCAGACCTTAAAGCCTTTACGCCCCAAGCCTGAACCCTACACCCTTTCAGCCCTAAACCCTGAACCGACGAACCTTGTTGATCATCGTCGTCGTCTGCAGCCTCCTCCTCGGGCTGCTTCAGCCTTGCGAGTTAGGGCTTTGGGTTCATGCAGGGGCCTGCATAATTAGAATAGCAGGCTTCTATACCAGCCGCCAGGGACGGTTTAGAGTTTGGGATTAGGGACGGTTCAGGGGTTTAGGGACGGAGGGTTAGTTAAGGAAGGGCTATCGTTCAGGATTGGGGCCGGTTTGGGGATCAAAGCTCACCTCTACAGCTGTGGCAACTAGCCTTCAGCCCCCCAAAACCCTAAATACTAAACCCCAAAGCCCTAAACCCTAAACCCCCAAGCCCTCAACCCCAAACCCTAGACCATCAACTCTGAAGCCTTGAGGCTTGACGTCGGGCGCATCTCAGAAAGTGATTACTCAAATAACCTGGAGTCGTAAAACTCCGAGACCTTCAGCAGTCGTTTAGGCTTTAAAGGGGTCAGAGTTTGAAATAGGTTTAGGGGTTTAGGAGTTTAGGGTATGGGGATTTGGGGTTTACGGGTTTGGGGACTTAGATCAGCTCCCTGACTGCAGGACGAACAGACGCACTGGAAAGAGCGATGAAAGCCGGAACACCCAATCCCGCAGGCCCTGAACCCGCAAGGGTTTAAGGTCTAGGAGTCTAGGGCTTTTACTCAAAGCCCTGGTCTCTAAATACCGAAACCCAAACTCCAAATCCCGAATGACACCCAGGCCAGTTGCCGCCGCTTCTCTTTCCGGCGCTTCCACGCATGTCCCAGTTCTGCCTGGGTTTTCCACGGTTGGAGGACTCGATCATAATGCAGGGCCTTAATAATTAGACTAGGGCTCCGGGCCTGGAGCTCACGGATTCGGGATCTAGTTGCATATTTATACTGTCATGTTATTGTACTATTCTATGTAGTATTCTTAATATATGATAATGGTTGTCTTCATTATTGTCCTAGTGTGTGATCATATTGTTATATTACTATATTCGATTATGTTACTAGGGATTTGCCTAGCCGAATCGGTCGAGATACGATGTACATTGGATCCCGGAGCGAGGTAGATAAAGTAACCTTGGGTGGGTCGGAATCGTTAGTTGGTTTGATTCTCCGGGTTAAGAATCTCGAAAGCCCTGCCGTATCCTGACTATGAAACCCTCATTATGCATACAGCAAAGGATCCCCGACAACCTGACTCTAATGGTGAAGTCCCCTAAATTACCATAGCCGTCGAGCTTGAATTTGAATGATTCAGGGTCAGGCTGTAGGATCTAGGGTCTAGGGGTTCGTCAGCGTGTAACCTTCCTGGCATCAAAATTCGAGCAATCAAGCAAACCTAGACATATACCCCCACTACCTATCCCTATATAGGGGCGAACGGGGTGTTGGGCATGTCATATTAAGGAACCCCAAGCAAAACTTTAATAGTTTATTCAGGCTTCTATATTAGCCCTAAACCCTAAACCGTAAATTTAGGCCAGCGGCTGGCTCCTCCACATCAACCGTCTCTGCCGGCTTCCGCTTCTTATCCTTCTTCTTCTTCCTCCTGCCTCGGTCGGGTCGGGGAAAAAGGTTAGGGTTTAAGGTTGTCGTCAAGGATTTTCGGGTTTAGGGCAGGCAAGAAGCTCACAACAGGAACCTGGAGCCGGCATTGAAGTAATGTACGGGCCTTACAGATTAGAATAATATAGCATCATTCGTACTTAGGAGCTCGATCACACATTATTCAGACCTGACCTCAATGTTATGAAGGAAACACAAAGTGTAACAGGACTATTGGCGAAGCACCCCTTGGAAAGTTTCCGTCTCAGCTTCATACTACATCCCCACGCACAAAGGCTTCAAGAAAAACAAACTCGGCCCTGAATCGCAGTGGTGGGTTGGCGAAGAACCCTAAAACCGTAAACACCAAACCCCCAAACCCGAAACCCTAAACCCCCACAGCCCTAAGCCCTTGAGCCCCAAACTCTGACCCCTTTAAAGCCAAAAAGACTTCGGAAGGTCGCGGGGCTTTACGACTCCAAGCTGTTTGAGTACCATATACTGGCTTCTTGTTGGGGGATTTTTAACTTCAGGTGGCATAACGGGGATCTGTTGTAAATAATGTGGTTTCTTTCTGATGGCAACTTAAATTAAATGGGTGGCCGGGCTCAGGAAAGCCGGTTGGCCGACTCAGCTGGCCGGAAGGAACAGAACGGTTGAGGGTATAGGGCCTTCGGGTTTAGAGCTTAGGGTTTACGCTTTAGTAAGGCTGAGGGTTTAGGGTTCAGAGTTCCGGGTTTAGGGTTCAGGGTTTAGGGTTTAGGGCTGTCGGGCTTGAGTTTTAGACAAAGCACAGACGTTTTAGGGCTTTCGCCTAGAAGCCTCGGGTTTTAGTCAAGAGGTTGTGGATATTTTTAAATCAGTAGGCTTTAGCTGCAGCCTCTTTGCGAAGAGCCTACAAGGGATTATGGGGTCTAAAGTAGTAGTAGAGACCTGATCAAATAAACCCCCTTCCACCAATATAGATCACATTGAAGATATTGAGATTAAGCCTCTTAGACTAGAGAAGGAGGTGTCTCAACCAAGGGTCTACACTCGATCTAAACCTCTCAATCTCTAAACCCTAAACCCTGAACGCTACACTCCTAACTGCTTCGGGCCTGCCTTCGGAATCCTCCTCAGCTGGCTGCCGCTTAGCTTTCTTGTCCTCAAGGAAGGAAGGAAGGAAGGAAGGAAGGAAGGAAGGAAGGACAGCAAGAGTGACTCTAGTGCTGTTTGGGCTTGTGGGTGTGCAGTCAGAAAGTCACCCGCTGGACACCGGGAGCTGAGTAACGAGTCCAGACCAAAAGCGTGGCCAAAGAAATCCCCTAAACCCTATAGACCCTAAAGACCCTAAACCCCAAACTCATCTCAAGTCCCGTGTCCTTCTTCTTTTTTCGCCCTGCCTTGTCATCCTTGGCAGAGGCTAGGGCTGAGGTTCCAGTCCGGATGCTTACAGCTCAGAGCTTTGGTGTTGAGGGTTAGGGATTCAGGTTTCGAGTTGGAAGGTTCAATGTTCTCTGCATGCTGGATCTAGAGCCAAAAGCCTACTGTGCCCGAACTATTCTTTGAGATGCTATGTCTGTCGGGTTCTTCGGGCCTCTTGAATACATGAAGGCTTTCATCTCTCATGATAACAAGCCTGAAATTGTCTTAAAAGCGTTGCTTCACTTTGGAGTACAAGGCTCCTCTCAAACCCTTGACCCTAAGCACTAGACCCTAAACCCGTAAACCCTCAAAGCTGCAGGAAGGGCCTCGTCCACAACCTCTACCGGCTCGGTGGCTGCGGGCAGCGGCTTGACCTAGCTTCGGATTTCAGCCGAGTTTGAGACAAGCGTTAAAGAAGAAGGGTTTTAGTTTCGGGTTTAGGCTTTAGGGTTTAGGTTCAGGATTTTGGGGGTTTTATGGTGCAGGGGTTTCAGCTTGGAAGTTGGGGGGGGTTTGGGGCTCAGAGGTTTTAGGGTGCACCGTTTTAAGCTTAGGCGTTTAGGGGGTCTTGGCTTACGGTTTTTCAGGTGCAGGGTTGCGAAAATCGCGATGCAAACAGTTCCAAGATCTCAAGTACAAGAACAACGAATAAGCTTGCAGCAGCGAGAAGAGCAACAGCAGTGGCAAAAGAGGGCTCCTCCTGGGAGTTTAATCCTATAGGCGCCTTAATGCTTGCCATAGGGGTGTTGGGTACACTATAGTATGGACCCTGAGCTCTAAACCCTGATAGTCGCAGTTATAACCTTGACTGACTGCGATCAGGATGGCACCCGCTCATGTGGCCCTCTCCATGAGCAGCAGCAGCAGCAGCAGC